CAGGGCCCAGTGCCCAGGGTGTGCTGTGGGCCCTCCAAGAGGCCAGAGTCAGTGCCCTCAGCCTGGCCCCAGAGCCACCTTCCTGCCTTGCTCTCAGGCCTCATCCCCGAGTGCCTGGCCTTCCCTGGACATTTCCCTCAGTGGGCTTGGCCTGAGTGAGCAAAGGACCCTTGACACACAGCTGCCCCAGGGCCCCAGGTCTTCTAGGTCCATGGGGCTCCCAGTGCTGTGTGCCACTGGACATTGCTCTCTGCTGGCCTTGGATTTGGCAGAGAGGAACACAGGGCCCTGACCTTAGTCAGAGCAGCAACATGTGTACGTGGTCAGGTTCAGTAGGCTGGGAGGATTTGCTTGGTGTCTGTCCTGGGGGACAGAGAGCAAGAGCCAAAGGGAGGGAGGGGGGGGAACTTCCCTGAAGGAGTCTGCATTTAAAAAGGATGCTCTGGGGCACAGTGGCCACACGCACAATCCCAGCCCCTCAGGAGGCTGAGGCAGGAGAATCACAAGTTTGAGACCAGTGTGGACAACTAGCAAGACAGTCTCAGAAAATAAAATAAAAAGATCCTGGGAGGCAGCTCAGTGGAAGAATGCCCCTGGGTTCAGTCCCCAGTAACAAAGATAAAGGAAAGAACAGGGAGGGGGGGTGGAGGGAGGGAGGGAGGGAGGGAGGGCAGGAGGAGAGGAGGAGAGGAGGAGCTGCCAGGCTGCACACTGCTCAAGGTGGAGGAGGGAGCTCCCACACTGGGTCCTTCGCTGGCTTGGAGGTGAGGCCTCAGCTGTGGGTCGGTGGGCTTATGGACCCAGCCCAGGCCCCCCCCCCCGCCCTCCTCCCTTGGTGTCGCCCCTGCAGCAGGCCGGGGCCCAGAGCCCCGCCCCCGGGCTCTGACGCTGCGTGGACAATGGTTGCCTTGGCTGGATTGTTACCTACGCACAGGTTCCTGGAAAGGCCCTGGCAGGCGGGGCCACTTGGTGGGAAAGTAGGCGCAGTGGAGGATGGAGGTCCCCCAGGCTCTGTGGGTGACCTGCTAGCCCGGCTGGGAGGTGCCCCCAGGAAGAGTGGGATCCCACGAACTTCCTTCTGGAAAGCCTGCTGTGACTCAAAGAGGCCCCCGGGGTTCTGTCTTTATTTTGGTGACGGCCAGAGGAGAATGCTGCAGACATGTTTAACCCACACATATTAGAGTCTCCAGCTGTTATTTTCGACAATGGATCTGGGCTCTGCAAAGCAGGGCTGTCAGGGGAGATCGGGCCCCGCCACGTCGTCAGCTCCATCGTGGGGCACCCCAAATTCAAGACGCCCAATCCGGGAGCCAATCAGAAGAAGTACTTTGTGGGGGAGGAAGCCCTGTACAAGCATGAGACCTTGAACCTGCGCTCTCCCATCGAGCGGGGCCTGGTCACGGGCTGGGACGACATGGAGAAGCTCTGGAGGCACCTCTTCGAGTGGGAGCTGGGCGTGAAGCCCAGTGACCAGCCCGTGCTCATGACGGAGCCCTCCCTGAACCCCAGGGAGAATCGGGAGAAGATGGCCGAGGTGATGTTCGAGAGCTTCAGCGTGCCCGCCTTCTACCTGTCCGACCAGGCTGTGTTGGCGCTCTACGCCTCGGCCTGCGTCACGGGCCTCGTGGTGGACAGCGGGGATGGGGTCACCTGCACCGTGCCCATCTTTGAGGGCTACTCCCTGCCCCACGCGGTCACCAAGCTCTACGTAGCCGGCAGGGACGTCACGGAGCTCCTCACCCGGCTCCTCCTGGCCAGCGGGCGGACCTTCCCGTGCCTGCTCGACAAGGCCCTGGTGGACGACATCAAGGAGAAGCTGTGCTACGTGGCCCTGGAGCCTGAGAAGGAGCTCTGCCGGCGGCCCGAGGAGGTCCTCAGAGAGTACAAGCTGCCCGACGGCAGTGTCATCTACATCGGGGACCAGCTGTACCAGGCACCTGAGGCCTTGTTCTCCCCCGAGCAACTGGGCACCCAAAACCCGGGGCTGGCGAAGATGGCATCCAGCAGTATCGCCAAGTGTGACGGGGACATCCAGAAGACGCTCTTTGGGGAGATCGTGCTGTCGGGAGGCACCACGCTCTTCCGGGGGCTGGACGACCGGCTTCTGCGGGAGCTGGAGCAACTGGCCCCCCAAGGCACCCCCATCAAGATCACGGCTCCCCCCGACCGCTGGTTCTCCACCTGGATCGGCGCCTCCATCGTCACTTCCCTGAGCAGCTTCAAGCAGATGTGGGTCACCTCCGCCGACTTCAAGGAGTTTGGGACATCCGTGGTCCAGAGAAGATGCTTCTGAAGGAAGGGCCTTGCGCCCGGGGCGGCCGGTGGCACTGGCTGGGCCCTCCTGGGAGGAGCTGACCTGCCGCTGGAGCAGGGTGTCCAATAAACGACAGAAGGTGGAGTGTTTGGCTGTGTGAGTGTCTCGCTCCTTCTCAACAGCGACAGAGTCCCTTCCGACCTGGGCAGCGGGGCTGTCAAGGGGGTCTGTCCACATCCCCTCCCTGCCGCCCGAGAAAGCCCGGGGCTGGGGGTCGAGGCTAGACACACCTGCAGGTGGCCCTGAATTTCGGGCCACAGCCTGATTCGGTGGTTTTGAACCAGGGTCTGGGGGTCGGGGGTCTGGGAGATGGGGCAGGGGGCAAGGGACAGGAAGGACGCTGCCCTACCTGAGCCCTCCCCTGGGTGGGCCCTGTGTTATTGATGGCCTGTGGGGAGAGAGCCCTAAACTTACGGCATTTCTGCTCCCCTCTGTGCCATCTGCCAAGGACCAGGCTGTGTCCCTTTTAGCTGTCTGGCCTCGTAAACGCAGAGCAAGGGCCCAGGGCACTGTCACCCGCTCTGCGTGGTGATTGTACCTTTTCAGTTTGTTTTTACTCTCAGGGATATTTGTAGCATCCTGGTTTGGGGGCAAAGCTGACGGCAACAGTTGAATGACTTAGGCACCAGGGGAAAATTTCCACGTGGACTTGGTGAAATTCTCCCAAGATGTTATTGAGAAGAGAAACGGAGAACTCGGAGGCGTTCTTAAAAGATGTTCTATAGTCTCCTCTTTTCTTTTGGATTTTAATAAAAGGCACTCTCCCAGGCTCATGTGGACAGAGCACATTGGCATGTGCCTGTTTAGAGAGAGGAGTGTCTTTTACGGAGACAGAAGGGAGAGGCGCATACCATGGTGGTGCACCAGGCTGGCGGGAGGCGGGGGTGGTCCTGGGAGCAGGAAGAGGGAGAGCGAAGGGAAAACGAACAGGACTTTGTTCAAGAAACGCAACAAGAATGGAAAAACCCACTTTGTCTACAAGGGGAGTTTGTCCACGTGGAACGTCCAGGTTTGTACATCATCTCCCTGTCAACCTATGTTGTATTTGAGCGGAGCCTTTGGTGGATTGGAAGGTAGAACGAAGTTGGGTGATTTTTTTGGGATCCAGTCTTGATCTCTGCCTTTTACCTGGTGGATTTAGACAACCTACAGTTAACTGAAATGTCCCAGATGTCCCCTTCCCTGTTAGGGCTTGGCTTGTCCCCTGTCTCATTCCTGCTTCTCTCACTTTGCTGGGGGTTGGGAACATTTCTCATAGTCCATGCTGATCCACTGCTGGGGTTTTTAGTGTTTTTCTTGGCGTAGGTTTTGGGGGAGTGCCCTAGGTGTCTTAGTATGCACACCTGTATGTGTGTGAATATATGGGCTCACCGCCTGCAGGTAGTGACATTTTATCACTTGGAGTTATGTGTGAACTCCCACCTCTGCTTAGGATGCTTTAGCCTCCCCGCTTTTAAAATACCATCATCTCGTCTTCTGTGTACACTGAGCACAGCCTCAGAGGTGTTAGAATTTTTTTTCAATCACTAAATGCGATTAAAGAAGCTCATGAGAGGAGTCTACAGTGTTTCCCTCTATCTAACCCACCTGGTGCTCTCCTTTCCTCTCTGAAGTCCCAAGCCACCTTCTGCGGTTATTTCCTCCGTGTTCAGAGAACTTCCTTGGCTTGCAGCAAATCCCCGAGTTCTCCTTGTCTCTGCCCTGGGAGGGCACCTTGGCCAAGACTGACTTTGCAATTCATACTTTCCTTTAGCGCTTGAAAAACCGCAGTGCCAGAGGCACTGTCCTGCTGGCCTGTGTGATTCCAGATAAAAAAACCCTCTGTCACTCAATGGGTGTCCCCTGTAGGGAATATGTCATTTTTCTCTCTGCTTTCTAGTTTTTCACATCTTTCGATTTCAGAGGTTTAAATATGACGGGGGTTTCTTTGAGGTTATTCTACTACCATCTTCTACCTCACCAGGGCTGGGTGGGGCTCGGCTCCCACTGGGACCCACTGACACAGGTGTGGCTGAAAGACAGCTAACCAGCAGCCCTGGCCCCGCCACCCTGTTCAGTCTCTCCCTGTGGGTGGCGTGGGTTATGGTGGATGTTTGTTCCACTTTCCGTGGAGCGACACGGCTTTCCCTTGGCCCTCAGGTTGAGCAGGGAGGGTGGGCAGAAAGGGGGTCTTTATTCTTAGCCCACACTTGGTGGGAATGGCTTTTCTTGGCACTTTGCTGGTCTGCAGCTGTGGGAGATCTTGGGGGAGAGGCTTCTGAGCACTGTATAAAAACTGCAAGGAAACCCAGGGACTCCCAGGGCTCCAGGTCCCCAGGCAGCTCCCGCCGTCCTGCACCTTTCAGTCTTCCTCTGTTGCGTTACGTCCAGAGCTTTCTGGAGGTAAGAGGGAGAACTTGTTTCTCTCTGCAGTTCCCGAAGGTTGCAAGGGCTCAGAGAGGCCTGTCCAACCCTCCTATCAGGACCACCCAGTTTTATGGTAGCTGGGGTTTCCCAAGGCTCACGGGTGAGTTCAGAGTTCCAGATCAGGGCTCCGTCCCCCTCCTACACTCCTTTATCCTTCTCTGCCTGAGACTGTGCCCATATTACTGAGTTACACTGCAAATACATGGTGCCTAAAACAACTCTTTTTTTTTTCCAAGCTACTCTGCTCCTCTTATGCTGGCCACTGCTCTTGCTTCAGTTGCTATGGTGATGGTGGTGGTGGTGATGGTGGTGGTGGTGGTGGTGGTGGTGATGGTGATGGTGGTGGTGGTGATGGTGATGGTGGTGGTGGTGGTGGTGATGGTGATTGTGATGGTGGTGGTGGTGATGGTGATGGTGGTGGTGGTGATGGTGATGGTGGTGATGGTGATTGTGATGGTGGTGGTGGTGGTGGTGGTGATGGTGATGGTGGTGGTGGTGATGGTAATGGTGGTGGTGGTGGTGGTGGTGGTGGTGGTGATTGTGGTGGTGGTGGTGGTGGTGGTGGTGGTGGTGGTGGTGGTGATGGTGGTGGTGGTGGGGTGTGGTGGTGTGGTGGTGTGGTGGTGGTGTGTGGTGTGTGTGGTGTGTGGTGTGGTGGTGGTGGTGTGGTGTGGTGTGTGTGGTGGTGGTGTGGTGTGGTGTGGTGGTGTGTGGTGTGGTGGTGTGGTGGTGTGGTGGTGGTGGTGGTGGTGGTGTGGTGTGGGTGGTGGTGTGTGTGGTGGTGGTGGTGTGGTGGTGGTGGTGGTGTGGTGATGGTGTGGTGGTGGTGTGTGTGTGGTGGTGGTGGTGTGTGTGTGATGTGTGGTGTTGTGGTGGTGGTGGTGATTGTGATGATGATGGTGATGATGATGGTGGTGATGGTGATGATGGTGGTGGTGGTGATGGTGATGGTGGTGGTGGTGGTGGTGATGGTGATGGTGGTGGTGGTGATGGTGATGGTGGTGGTGATGGTGGTGGTGATGGTGGTGATGGTGATGATGGTGATTGTGATGGTGGTGGTGGTGGTGATGGTGGTGGTGATGGTGGTGGTGATGGTGGTGATGGTGATGATGGTGATGGTGATGGTGGTGGTGGTGGTGGTGATGGTGGTGGTGGTGGTGGTGATGGTGATGGTGATGATGGTGATTGTGATGGTGGTGGTGGTGGTGATGGTGATGGTGGTGGTGGTGATGGTGGTGGTGGTGGTGGTGGTGGTGATGGCGATGGTGGTGATTGTGATGGTGGTGGTGGTGATGGTGGTGGTGGTGGTGGTGGTGATGGCGATGGTGGTGATTGTGATGGTGGTGGTGGTGATGGTGGTGGTGGTGGTGATGGTGATGGTGATGGTGGTGGTGATTGTGATGGTGGTGGTGGTGATGTTGATGATGGTGATGATGGTAATTGTGGTGGTGGTGGTGATTGTGATGATGATGGTGATGATGATGGTGGTGATGGTGATGATG